TCTGGTTAGGCAATCAGGGAAAAGTGCCTGGTTGGAAATTGTAGAGGAGCCCTGGTGGCGCAATGATTAAGCACTGGGCTGCTAACCCAAAGGTCAGTGGTTCTCTGCAGGAGAAAAGACCTGGCAATCGGCTCCTGTAAAGATTACAGACCAGGAAACCCCACGGGACAGTTCTACTCTGTCCTAGACAGGATCTACTGCACACAACGGAGCCTGTGGAGCCCCAGGCCCTGCAGCGCCCCCGTGTGGTCACATTTGAACTAAACCGTGCTTCCATGAGAAATCTTGTAAGAGCTCACACAGGCAACTGTGAGCAGCAGTGGGGCTGGCGCCATTTTGTCAAGAAGAACTCCTGGTGGGGGCGGGGGGGGGGAGAGCACTCCAGTCCCCTCCTTTAAGAAATGTCACAAGGCAATTAAGGTGTGTTAGGGGGATTGTGATTTAAATTATACAAAGTATCCAGAAAGCATTGTATAAACTGTAAAGTGTGGTAACAGCAGGCATTATTATTACTGTCCTTACTTCCATGAAACTGGATGGAGCGCTGCTTCCGTTGTGGCAAGTTAAAGGGCCAGGGGAAGGAAGGGACCGAGGGAGGGCTTTGTGGGAAAGGTAGACAGCGGCCGAGGGCTTACGCTCCCCAGAAAACCAACTGATGCAAAGGGCAGCCAGCCTGGAGTGGAAGATCTGAATGACCGACTCACAGGCTTTGCTGCTCTGTGGAAATTCCTGTCCCACCTAACGGAGCCGGTGATTTCCAGAGGCCCATGGCACCTCAGCACCACTGACTGAGTGATGGGATCTTGACCACAGAGAAGCCGAATTCTACCTACTGTGCAAGCTGCCTTTTAGGTTTCAGGAAGGACACTGAGAGGGGCCCGTCATCTTACGTTTCTGCAAAGCAGCCGCCCGGCCCCCTGCGTTGGCAACTTGGATGAGTTAATGATGGGAATGGCTTTCCTATTCTTCTCATTCAGGGGGCTCATGTTGCTGATTTCCTTAAGGCATAAGATCAATTTGGGTCTATTTGTCCTAAAAAAAACAAAACAAAAAAACCCCCACGCCATTGGCTGGTCCAGTCTGTGGAAATCGAACCCCTTGCAGGCACACTGGGCATGGCCTCTGGCTTCTTGGAGTCTAATGTAATGGGAACCAGGGCCCCTGGACAGTTTGCAAACAAGGACTATCCAGTTGTGCCGTGTGTGTGTGTGTGTGTGTGTGTGTGTGTGTGGTGTATCGAGAGCAGGGCAGGAAATTAAGCACAAAAACGTAAAAACGTCCCTTTCTTTCTCTTCTCCTTCCCTTTCTGATATTTCTTAGGCGGGTGTCCCCTCCTCAGGAAGCGGATTTCAAAACGGACGGGAGGGTGGCCACGGGACCCACAGCGCTTCTGAGTGAACGGTTAGGGTTATCAATCGAAAACTCACTCTCAGTTGCAAAGCAAGAGTTTGTGTTTGTTTTGCAGGGACACCATCTCAGCTCATTAGCTCAGTTCTTGGCAAGGCCGCTTCTTCCTGATGCTGCAGAAGACAAGCTTCCCTGTGCACCTAAAAATAAACAGACACAGAGATAGATAAAGCAGACCAGCGCCGTCTCTGCCCCCCGCCCAGGTCCCGATTCCTGTCTCTGTCTCAGGGCCGGGCCTTTCTTTGGTTCTTTGAGGCTTGGCTGTGCTAGCATGTCGCTCCCCCACTTCCCGGCGCGGTTCCTTCTGCCCATGGCATCCTGGACACCGGGCCCCTCTGCATGGCGCCCAGGGGGCTCTGCTGAGTTCCAGGGGGGCCTCTGTGCTTTCTCAGCAGTTCAGCGTTAGGCAGGAGAATTAGTACAGGCACACCTCGTTTTATTACAGTTTTTTTTTAAACAAATTGCAGGTCTGAGGCAACCGTGCTTGGAGCTAGTCTATCAGTGCCGTTCTTTCCAACAGCAAGTGCTCACTTGGTGTCTCTGTGTCACATTTTGGTCATTCTCAGAATAATTCCAACTTTTTCATCATGCTGTTGCACATGTTGATCGGCTACCGCACAGTGTTAACAACTGTTATGTTGTTGTTGTTATGTGCCCTCGAGTCAAACCCGACTCACAGCGACCCCACCTTGGGTTTCCAAGGCAGTATCACTACAGAAGTAGTGACATTGCCCCATCTTCCTTCCGAGGAGTGGCTGGTGGGTTTGAACCGCCAGCCTTCTGGTTAGCAGTCAGGTGCCTTAGGCACTATGCTACCAGAGCTCCTAACAACTTACAGGCACCGGGAAACTAAACAATTCATGAGAGTTGCTTTCTTGCACTATTCGCTTTCTCGGGAGTTCTGGAAGCCAACCTGTGGGATCTCCAAGGTCTGCCTGGATTTATGGCAAATGCATCAGGAATGGTTCTTCACTCAAAAAGAGAGTTCTAACTTGTTTCTTAGGCTACAGCTGCATTTAGGATCTTCCAAATAAGCAGTTTTTGTTAGTTCTCCCTGGCCTACATGTTCTTGCCTTAATAAACAACAAACAAGCAATTTCATTGAAAGGCTCTTCTGTGTTTTGGCCCAGGAGGAGAAGAACGAGTTTCAGAAACTGGCAGAGTTCTTTGTGGAGAGGTTCTCAGCAGAGGTCCTCCCTCTCTGTGTTTCTCTCCTCTGGTTTTGGGGGGAGGGCGGGTCCTCTATAGAACAGTCTGCTTCTCCCCCTTCCTGCTGGGACATTTCTTATCAGGGCAAAAAGGCCCCGTGCCCAGTGAGGTGAAACCTGCCAGGGACACTGTCACCTTTCTGCCGCATACACTGCGGCCAGAGAGCTCACCAAAGGCCGTGCCCCGGAGCACCCGTGATGTCCGCGGACAAGGGACCAGCCGCCTGTCTGCCTCGAGTCACTCGCCATCCTCTCAGAGGTGACGGTAGGGGGGAGCCACCAAGGCTCCCTCAAAGTGGTCACCTCCAGGTGTCAAGAGGTCTGAAGAAGCTAATCCAGCTCCGAGGAAAAGACCTGTGGTCTTTACTCCTTGGATCTGGAACCAGCCAGTCCAAGCTGAGAGCTAGCAGGCCCCAGCAGCAAATGACCCCATGTCTGAGTTCTCAGAGGTTTTTCTGAACAATTTTATTTGCTTAAGATGTAGACATTCTCTGTACTCTATGCCCAGATCAGGAGTGTATGCTAATGTTGATACATATCCATGTCTGACAGCCTGCATGGACCTGCATGACCCAGTGTGTGGCTGGGCATGCGTGTCAGTTACCAATGTGTATTTTGCATGTATAGGAATAGGAGTGTGGTGTGCATGTATGTGACCCTGCATATAATCTATAAATCTGAATGTGTGCATATGCCAAGGAGGGGTGTTAAGTGCCTATCTGAACATACATGTGAGTATATGCAGTGGACACTACCAATGCACCCATCCCTCAGCCGCTCTGGGTGCTGGCTACTAAGGACCCCAGCTGTCCCCTGCTTCTCGGATCAATGGGAGGAGCTCGTCCAGGAGTTCAGACCTCACCCACTCCCCGGGAACCCCCTGACTCACCAACAGAGGGTACGAGGTCTGGTCCTCTTGGCTCCTGGTGGACCCACCTCTGTGGTACCCAGGCACGCTCCAGAACCCCCATGGAATGGAGATGAGACTCCAGCTGAGACCAAGGCTTTGCTCCCCCCCTCTCCACCCCTTCTGTCCTGGGAGCATGCTCCAATCCCTTTGTCAGGCTCTGCTCTGTGCTACACACTCCGGATGGAGACAGTGCTTGGCTACCTGTGCACGTGTGGACATCTCTGGTGTGGACCTCTCTGGTGTGCACACATGTGTCTATACATTTGTATGTGCATAACCTCTGCACCACGAGATACGGGTTTGGGAGAGAGGGTAAGGTGGCAAAGAACACTGACTTCAGACTATGGCAGTTAATGGCATCCCAGACACAGAGTAGGAGGGCTCGGCTTTAAAAGCAGAAAATTAAAAGATACTTTAGAAATAAACATAAATATACATGTACACATTTTTATTAAGTCAGGAAAAGGTACAGTATACATGACTATCGGTCTATCAGCTCTACTTTGAGTTACATTGTAAGAGACTCATGGTCCTATTTACTCCTCTGTACAAGTATTAAAACAAACCTCAGGTATTTGAATAATCTGTAACTTTTTATTATCTGGGGTTATGGGAAGGGTTTTTATCAGAGCACATCCTGAGAACATTGGGAAATTACAGACGGACTCGAGATAAGTGTCAGACAGAACAGATGAAGCAAGCCCTTCAGCCATCTGAGAAGCATTAATAATGTAAGATTGCCGAGACCAAATCTTTGTTAGTGATACCGGAAGCGAGATCAAAATGGAGGCCTTGGCTCCCCCTGGTGTTGCAAAGTAAACTCGCAACTTCATTTACTTACACAAGTATTTTTGAAGTTGTAACCCTCACCCTTGTCACCGAGCCTCACAAAGCAATTGTTTTCCGCAATCATTCCAAGCCCTCTCCAGTCAATTGTTTGCCCCTCATCTATAACATCCAAGGACCCTATGTGACAAACAGCTCTTATTCATTCCCTTGTCATACCCCACACATTCCATTCCAGGAAGTTGGCAAGCTCCCAGCACAGAGCCCATGAAACACAAACTTAAAACTAATAGATTTTATTCTCCCCTCTTCAGACTCAGAGGGTGAGTGTGTATTGACGACAGAGATCACTTCCTCCTAGCAGGCAAACTGATACTGCCACTGCCATAACTTAGCTAGAATGCACCCTTCCACACACACCCCTCCCGCTGCTTGGCAACCATCAACGCTTCTGACCTAACTAGTTAACCTGCTGAACCATCTTGACAGTTATTTACCAGGAAAGACTGGACCAGAGACGTGAATAATACACCTCAATATACAACAGCTCAGGCTTAATGAGTAGGCAGAATCTCGTTTGATGGTCACGAGAGTCAAAAATATATACATGGAGCGGGTTTGGGGAGGAAGCTGGAGAGGGAGAAGGTATCTTGATGGCAGGAGAAGTTGGTGGGACTGTAGTGATTTGTTTACTTGGATTTGCCAACGGGTCCGATGGATACAGGGTCTGTTTGCACTTGGGCGTCCAACATCTGCTTTGGTCCCTGAAGAAAAATATAAAGAAGTTGCAAACTGTTGAAGGTTTGTAATATCATCAACAACAACTGTCATTTATTTAGCATTTACTCTGTGCTAGGAGGGGTCCTTGAGTGGTGCAAATGGTTAAGCCCTCAATTACTAGCCACAGGATGGCCGCTGGAACTTACTTACCCAGAGGCACCTGGGAAGACTGGCCTGGCAATCTGTTTTCGAAAGCTCACACACAGCTGTGAAAGCCAGATGCAGCTCTATTCTGCACACATGGAGTCTCCATGAGTCAGAACTGACTCCATGGCCACTAACAACTACTACTGTGACAGGTGCTGCACTGAGTGACACAAGTAGTACCTGACTTATGATGTGGGTTATGATGAACTGTGCTTATGACTCTGTTTTTTTTTTTTAAGTACATCCTCTGTCCGTATTTTTTCTTTTTTTGAGGTGGTACATGTTATAGTTAGTAGTATTTTCTACGTACTGTGTTGCAATGCATAATTTGCTGATGTTATCATTCTCAGATGTTCAGTCTTAGGATTTACTGATCAAAACAGGCTATGGTCTGGTCTACAATGAAGTCAGTGTGGGGAGTCATAATTAATAGAAAGCTGGGCAACATTCAACTCCAGCTGCATATGACTGAACCTTGCATGCACCCAACAGCTGTCACGACTCTGACTTCACTGTTAGGACAGTGACACCAGCTTTGCTGTAGACCAGGCCTACAGCGTGATCTTACTTTTAGCGTTTCATACCGTAAGAGGCATCTGTTGTTAATTGGACATGAGGTACTCGACTTCTATCAGAACTGACTCCCAACAAAGTTGTTGGAATGGAACTCCCGTCTTAAGTCGGGGCTACCTCTTATTCATGAGCTGCAGATAAGAGAATGGTCTCTGATCACATGTCCAGGTTCAAAGATATGTTGCTTCCTAGCTCGGTGAACTCTTGGGCAAAACACTTAACTTTGTGTGTTTCACGTTCTTCATCTTAAAATGGGGATGATAAAACCTGTCTCAGAGGCTTGTTCCCAAGATGAAGTGAGTTCATACCTGTGATCTGCTTAAAACTGTACCTGGGATATGATGCCTGCTCAGTTAGAGCCCAATGAAGCCACCTCCTCATCACTCACTCTCTAACCACATCCCCCTGCTTTCTTGCTCATCTAATCACCATCCACAGTGTTCCCATTATCATTCTACTTACCTTCTGTACCTCCACTGGAATTTAAGCTCCATGGAGTCTGTACTGTTCATGCCTACTAAGTGCCTGGCACATACATTAGGTTCACCTTACCTATTCACTCACTGTGGATGAATGAGCTCTGACTTAGATCCTGTGGTTACTATTTTCTCCTTCCTTGTCCAGTCTAATGTAGATACAGTAAAGTTTCCCCTTGGTAGTATACAGTTCTTTGAGTACTGACCAACACAATGGTTGTCTAACCACACCATGATCAAGATGTCAACAGCTCAGTCACCTTCCAAATTCCCTTGTGCCAAGTGAACCACCAGAAAGCAATTAAAGACAGTGTTGACACCCTGTGAGAAATGAAGCTAATGTCACTGAATCCCTTGTATAGAAACTGTCAAATGGGGACTGAATTTACTGTGAAAACATCCACCACAAACACAATCAAGTATTAACAACAGTGAATTCCCTTGGGAGCCCTTGTGGTCGGCTCTCATCCCGTGCACACCTCGGCCGTGCTGACCTGTTCTTCTCCCGGCATCTCTCTCAACAATGAATACCTCCTCCTCCATCTCCTGTTGTTGGGAGCTGCTGTGGAGTCCGCCCTGACCCGTGGGGACCCAAGGTCGACAGAACCAAACACCGCCTGGTCCCGCACCATCGTCAGGATTGCCGGCATGGGGGACTCCATTCCTGCAGCCACTGTGCACTCTGAGTACCCTCCAGCTTCAGGGGTTCATCAGCCAGCACCTCATCGGACAATATTCTGTTTCGATCCCTAAGGTTTTACTGGCTGGTTTTCAGCAACAGATCACCAGGCCCTTCCTCCTGGTCTGTCGCAGTCTGGAAGCTCTACTGAAACCTGTCCACCCGGGTGACTGCTGGCGTCTGAAACACGGTGACAAGGCTTCCAGCAGCATCACAGCAACATGCAAGCTGCCACGTGCGACAGACTGACACATCTCCAGTAGGTCTGTGTCTGTAATCTACATCATCTCATGGTTCTTCTGTAAAACATCTGGAGGGCTATGTGCACATCCATGTTCATCACAGCACTATTCAAAATAGCAAAGAGGCAGATAACACCTAAGTGCCCATCAACCGAAGAATGGATAAACAAACTATGGTACGTGCACACAATGGAATACTATGCAACCCTGAAGAATAACGTAGAATCTGCAAAACACTGCGTAACATGGATGAACTTGGAGGGCATTATGCGAAGGAAATAAGTCAATCACAGAAGGACAAATACTGTATTAGTGTGCTATTGTGAAAAGTCAAGGGAAGATCCATACATAGAAGGAAAATTTCTTTGTTGATTTTCAGGGATGGGAGGGGAGGAGACACTAAATTATATCAAAGGTTACTAGTGTTTATTAGGGGCAGGAAGGAGGGGGGAAAGGGGAAGCATTTGTTTGTGGGGCACTGAGTTGATGCCGATCGTTTAGGAAAGGACAGCAATAGTAGTGACACAACATGAAAAATGTCACCAGTGTCCCTGAGCCATAAATGGGGAAGTTATGTTGGCAAATGTCTTACTGTATATGTTTTCACGACAATAAAAGTGAAAAAAAAAATACACCCAAAACAAAAGTCTGGATTTCGTGAGCTCTAAGGGCTTCCTTCCAGTTCTTTTCAGACTTTCCGTACTATACCGGTGGCTTCTCTGTTAGAGTGCAAACACCCCGAGTCGGGGAGGAGGAGCTGAGTGAGGGGGGCGCCATCGAGGGCCAGGGCCCTGCTGGACTGTTGGGCCGCACAGTCCCTGAGCTCTACCCTGAGCTGAGGCTGGCTGTGTGCTGGACGGTGGGCCAGTGGGAGCTCACGTGCTGACAGAAGCTGCAGGGGCCCCGGCCTGGGCCGGCTGGGCTGCCGGATTCCTCTCTCAGGGAAAGGGCAGGTCAGCTGGGGGCTGTGCCCAGCTTGGGGCTCTTCCTCGTTTGATTCTGGAAGATGTCAGCCAAGCTCTGCCCTGCCCCTCTTCTGCTGGAAGTCTCCTGACAATGAGAAGGTGTGGGATTCGGGGCAAGGGGACTGGGACCGACTCCCCTCTGCTTCTTACACCAGTTCAGGTGGCTGTGGAGTTGACCCCGACTCATGGTGACCCCGTATGTGTTCCACAGCATTCTCAGCGACTGATTTGGAAACAGATCACCAGGCCTTTCTTCTGAGGTGTCTCTGGGTAGACTCAAGCCTCCAACCTTTTCGTTAGCAGCTGAGTGTGTTAACTGTGTTTACCGCCCAGGAGCTCCCTGCCTCTTACAAGCTGCGTGATATTCAGCAAGGGACATGCTGCTGTACCAAAAATTAACACAGCAGGCTTACAAAAATACCTGCATGCTGGAATGGAGTGGAAGGACATGATTGGCCAAAGAAATACACACAATGTGTGTGTTATTTGCATAAAAATGCAGTAAGCTCTCTGAGCTCTGACTCACTCACTCCTCTGTGAAGTGTGAGTAAGAATTCCTACCTTGATGGGCTGTAATTTAAAGAGGTAAGTTATGTGAAGGAGTATGGCCCAGAGGAGGGGCTTGCTGACCAGTGCTGTAAGTGCTATCTTGGACGGTCCACTTCTCATCATCTCCACAAGCACCACCGGGCCAAATCGCCCCGCCTTCTCTGGTGATGATGGAAGTGTGTTAACTGTGTGTCTAATTCTGCTCATGCCAGCCTATAGCCATGTCTTTACCACAACAGCAAAAGCTGCCTTTAAAACTGTAAACGGGGCTCACCCCTTCCTAGTGTAACACCCTCTAGTACCTTCCTGCCTCATGCTGGATCCCCTCTGACTTCTGGCTTGGCAGGTACAGTCTGCAGCAGCCAGGCCCCACCCACAGCTCCAGGCTTACCTCTGCCCATCGCCTGCCAGGCTCACCCCAGCAGTTCCTTTCCCTGCCCCAAACACGCTAAGGTCATTCCCACCCCAGGGCCTCTGCACACGCTCTGCCTGCCTCCTGGAACAGAACACTGCTCTCCTCCTGCCTGTTGCTGTGTTAGGTGCTGTCCTGTTGATTCTGACCCACAGCAACCCCGAGTGATGGAGAAGAAGTGCTCAACATAAGGTTTCCAAGGCTGCAATCTTTATGGAAACGGATTGCTGTGTCTTTCGGCTGCACAGTGGCTGGTGGGTTCAAGCCACTGAACTTTCAGGTAGCAGCCTAGTGCCTAACTGTTATGCCACCAGGGCTCCTGGAACCTTTTAATTCTTCCAGTCTCCATTCAAGTATCATCTCCTTTAAGAGAGCTATTTCTGGATCCACCAACCCAAAGTTGCACCTGCCCCTGCCATTGCTCCATATCCAGACAAACTCTCTCATGTTACTCTGTTACTTCCCACCCATACATTTGTGTTTATTATTACTCTATCTAGCTTTTAATTTCTTGTTTCTCCACTAGAATGTAACTTCCTCAAGTCAGGGGCCTTGCTTCTTTTCTTTACTGAATATATTCTTGGTATCTAGCTCAGGGGTTGGATCATATTTTCTGTAAGGGCCAGACAGTACATATTTTTGGCTTTGTCTTCCGTTTGGTCTCTGTCCCAACTACTCAACTCTGCCATCATGGTGTAAAAGCAGCCATAAACCACATGTAAAGGAATGAACATGGCTGTGTTCCAATAAAACTTTATTTACAAAAACATGTCAGGGGCCTGACGTGGCCTGCTGGTTGTAGTCTGCTGACCCCTGGCACAGCTCAGTGCCAGGAATCTACAAGGCATTCTACAAGGATGTGTGAAATGAATGAATGAATGATTGAGGGTATCTGAGCTCTTCCACACCACGGTCTTTTTCCAGCCTCCGCAACCACTGAAGAGGCTGGCTTCAGTGAAAATAGTTAAAACCCACAGTGGAAATCAGCCTGTGGGTGTTGCTAATTTTAAACAAATGATCCTCTAAGAATAAGTCACAGGCTGGAAAAAAGAGAAAAATGAAAAGAATCTCAAATAATCCCCCACACATCTTTTCTGGTCCTTTAGCAACTTGCTTCTCGGAGTGTGGACCTTGGACCAGCAGCCTCAGTCAGCATCACTTGGGAGCTTGTTAGACGGCCCCATCCCATGACTACATAAGCAGAATCTGCATTTTAACAAGACCCTGAGTGACATGTGCGCTCCATTTTGAGAAGCTCTGTGCTAGCACACCCAACCAACCTCACCTGGGCAGGTGGACGGGTCTCCCTCAGGGAAACAACTGGACATCTGACAGCCATCGCAGGCATGCGATGCCGCTCTTGGGCCCACTGACATCTGGACACCCTACACCTCAGTGAAAAGACAGTAGGAGCTGCCTGAGTAGTCTGAAGTCCGGGCCATGTCCAGACAGGAGAAAGCGAGGAAGGGACAATAGCATGCTGTGGCACAGGATAGAAGAACTATGAATGCGGACGCTTCAAAGCCTGTCCTGGGGCACACTCCTTTACAGAAATTATCTTTTTTAGTTGTCACAACGTCCCTTCAAAGTAGGAATTCTTATTCACTACTTCACAGGGAGTAAGCCTGGCCTCAGCCGCCATGTCCTGATGACCCTCAAGTAGTCCTACGGAGAGGTCAGATGGTGAGAACTGAGGCCTCCTGCCAAGGGCCATCTGAGTGCACCCTCCTGAATCAGGTCCTCCAGCCCTAATGAAGCTCTCAGATGAATGCAGCCCCAGCCAACATCGTAAGAAACCTTGAGGCAGAACTCCCCAGCTAAGCCTCTCCCAGATTCCTGGCCCACAGCAACCGTGAGAAAATAAAATGCTGGCTGCTTTAAGCCATTATATCTAGAGGCTATTTATAAAGCAGCAATAGATACCTACAGTACTTTTCAAGGGCCCAGAATGCTGCCTGACACATAGTATGCGCTTACTACATACATACTTGTGCAATGAATGCTTGCTTGCTCATAGACATTTTCTTTCTTTTTAAACCGTGATTTGGGTGAAAGTTTACAGAAACAGTTCATTTTCCATTCAACAGTTCATACACATTGTTTTTTGACAATGACTGTAAACTCCTCAACGTAACAGTACTCTTGCCACTTCCTCCCTGTGTCTACCATTTCCCTGTGTCCTTTCCTATCCCTCCCTGCCTTCTGAGTAAATGCCACCCTTCTGATCTCTTATGGTTGATGGTTATAATGACTACATACTTCCTTGGTGTTAATGTTCATCTTATCGGTTGGTCTATCATTCGGCTGAAAATTGAGCCATGGGGGTGAGTTCAGCCCCAGGCCTGAAGGGTGTCTAAGGGCCATACCTCTTGGGGTTCCACCAGTCTCTGGCTAATAAACATTTCAGTGTGTGACAAAATTTGGTCTGGGACTTATCTTCATCTATCATCCCACTGCATCAAGGAGCTGGGGCAGACCAGCACTTCTCAAATTTAGTGGCAAAACCACCCACCAGGGGCTGTTACTACAGTGCAGCAGTTTCTTGACTCAGCAGGTCTGAGGTGGGGCCAGAGATTCTGAGTTTCTAATAAGCTCCCCAGAGATGCTGTTCTCTGGGGACCACGCTTGGAGGAGGGGAACAACTGTTGTTGGGTGCCATCGAGTTGATTGTCAACTTACAGTAATCCTACATGGCAGAGTATAACTGCTTACAGGGCTTTTTTCTCCTACATCTTTACCATAGCAGGTCACAAGGTGTTTCTTCTGTGGAGTGGTTGGGGGGTTTGAACTGTCAATCCTTCAGTTAGCTGTGGAGCACTTAACCGTTGTTCCACCAGGCTCCTTAGGGAACCACAGCATCCCCCACCTCCATCTACTGGGAACCATAGTGATCACCCACCTCTATCTCCTGATGGACATCAACATCTATGAGCATCTGGAGAATGGAGTAATTATGACCAAGGAGGCTGAGGACAGTAGGCTTCACTTAAAAATTCCACCTGTATTGCAACATGAAGGCAAGCTCCCCTTCAATGGCCCCACTTCTGATATCAGTGCTATTTCCTTGGCTTGCCCTCTTGGCTCAATTCATATTCCCATGGGTCCTAGATACCAAACCCGAAACCCATTGCTGGGGAGTCAATTCTAAGTCATAGTGACTCTGTAGGACAGAGCAAAACTGCCCCATAGGGTTTCCAAGGCTGTAAGTCTTTATGGAAGCAGACTGCTTCATCTTTCTCCAGCAGAATGGCTGGTGGGTTTGAACCACCCACCTTGCGGTTAGCAGCCGAGAGCTGAACCAATTGGCCACAGGGCTCCTTACAATAGGCCTCACTTATCTTTCCTGTTAGTTTGTGCTCCACCATTTTGCTTCTAATCTGAGTAATGGCTTTCCAGACTCTCCTTGTGTACCAGAGTTTACATTACCCAAAATAAAGCAAAATGTTTTACTAGTGTCATATTTTAAGAAGATCTGGTGGTGCAACTAAGCACTTGGCTGCTAACCAAATGGCGGTTGGTTTGAACCCACTAGCCCCTCCACGAGGGAAAGACCTGGTGATATAGTCCTGCAGAGATTACACAGATTACACAACACAATGCTCTGCTGTTTAGTCGGATCCGACTCACAGCGACCTTTCCTTGGGTTTCCGAGGTGGTATCACTACAGAAGTAGATTGCTCAACCTTCCTTCCGAGGATTGGTTGGTGGGTTTGAACCACCAGCCTTCTGGTTAGCAGTCAAATGCCTTAGGCACTATGCCACCAGAGGAAATCCTATGAGACAGTTCTGCTCTGTACTGTAGGGTTGCTATGAGTTGGAATTCACTTGACAGGACACAACAACAACAACAACAACAACAGTGCTGCATTTCGTTTCTTTCACTTAACGAGTATTTCCTGAGTGTCCACTATGTTTCAGGTGCCATGCCAGACATGGTACTTCCCTCCCAAAGCTAACAGGGGAGGAGGCAAAGAAGAAACAAATAAAACACGGAGGATACTAAAGGCTTAATATTTGGCCTCCACTCATCCCACTGGGCTGTGAACTCCTGAGGGCAGGAGCTATGTTCAATCACCCCGTGTACCCTGCACCTAGGGCCTGGGTTAGTCACCCTCCGTACAGCTCTTCAAGGCCACTTTGCCCACAGGAGGGCACGGGTTCTCCTTACCACCACGTATTCCCCGCCAATTTTTCCTCCATCCTTGTATTTATTCTGTATCCAGCCAGACTGCTCTCTTCACTCCCATGTGCCTCTCCATCACGACTCTGCACCTGCCATTCCACCTCACACCTGCCTTTCCCACCTTTGTACTCGTCCCCACCTTTGCCCCTGCTGTTCCCCCTTTGCACTTGCCGTTCCCACTGCCCAGAACACACTCTACCTTCAGATCTCTCCTCGCCTCCTCCACAGGCAAATGTGGGGTCTCCCCCTTGGATGCAGTCTCCTCTGGGAAGTCTTCCCTGATGCTTCTCTCAAATCCAAGGCAAAGCCAGGTCCTCAATCCAGGGTCCCTTCACACCTCCCTCCGGCCCCTGACCCCCAGCTGTTACCACACTCAGCATCTGCCCCCATCAATCCTGCAGCTGCTCTGGGCTCCCGGATGGTAATGTCCATGCCACTCTTGCTGTCTGGGCCAAGCTCAGTGTCTGGCACACAGGAGTTGTTCAGTAGGTATTTGACAGATCCCCGGCCAGCCCCTGCCCAGCCTGTCCCTTTGTGAGTAGGGCCCACACCCCTTGCCTGAAAGCCCAGGAAGGAGAAGAGGTGACAAGGCCACCTACCAGGCCCTTCAGGAAGCCCCTGAGGGACTGCCGCTGCTTGTCGGGTCTCTTCTGGGACTTGTCCCCGCTCTGCAGAGAGTTCACCTCCAGCGCGCAGGGCTCTGCACACGGGGCAGGTTCTTTGGCTTCTTGCTTGCTGCTTTTCTGCTTGTTCATCTCAGCCGCGGGCTTCTTGTCCTTCGAGGAACACTCTTTGCCCTTCGGGCCTACTGTGGCTGGCTCTGGCTCCGGCTCCGGTGACGTGGTGGCCTTCTCTGTGGAGTCTGAGGTCTACAGCAATTTCAAACAAAGCACATTTTTAGTGGCTGCAGGTCAACTCTTGGAAGGGAGTGAGTAACTGTGTTAAAACAGATGTGCAAATGTTGGATGGTGTCTATGTTTTCATGAGGTCTTGGTGAAATGGGGAAAAAAAAAAAAAAGAAAAATGGACACTCATCCTGATGCAAGGTCCCAGGAGGGGACATACATTTATTTATCTAATAATGAATGAATTTCTTGCTTTCCCAGCAAGCCTCCTTTCCTTCTTCTCTTGGTTCTAGAACCTGGGTTTTCTTTGGGGGACCATCCTTTTCCTTCATCATTGGTTTAGGCAAAGAATTCTCACCCCTTGACTAGGGCATGTGGCTCAGTCTGCAATCAGAACACTTCCAGCTCTGTGACTGGGTCAGGATGGGCAAATATAAACACTGAGCACATCTCAGAATTAAGGCAAAATAACCTTATAACCTTTATAAGATGGAGGCCTGCTTCCTTTCCAATGGATTTGAAACTGAAGATGTAGCTGGGAGCTTCTAGAGCAAGGCCACTACAAGGGAAAACCTGCTTGAAAATGAAGCCAATAAAGGAAAAGCTGCGAGAGGGAGGGAGGGATAGAGGGAGACAGAATCAGGGACTGATGGCAGGATGTGTGCCCCTGGATCAAGCTGTCCCTGAAGTCCTTTTGTGCTGAGTCAGCTCTGAGAGGTTGTCTCCTACTTGTAACCAAATGTGGCTCTTTTCTGGGGGATGGATTCTTTTCTTTCTGATGATGTCTGAATTTCTGGTATGAAACAGTCCTTTCACTTCATGAAATGATGCTCAAAGAAGACACTTGTTTGAATTTTGGTTTTGAAAGGACATCCTTCCATGCCAAAATGAAAAGTGTGTAGTTCTGTTTGGTTCCTACAATTTGGAGGGATGAGGCTGTAAAATCCAAAATTCCAGGTTAAAAAAAATCTGTCGGGAAGAAGGAACCCTTTCCAAGTAATCTACTTAAACTGGAATGCCTGTGGGGGCTAGAGAGAGAATGTAAGATCTTGGAGGAGTCTAAGAATAAAAATGATCACAGAGCCCTTACTCCCCCCCATCATAAAAGCACCAGAGCTCTCAACACTTCTCCAAACTAAGACAAACAACAGTGCGAGCATGCTGGCTTTGATGTTGGGGAGACAATTTGTAGTAGTGAGGACTGTGGCCAACTGAAAGTGACATGCCTATCTGAAGGGGCACTCAGCTGAGAGATCCCATATGGAGCACAGCCCCAGCGCTGTTCAAACAGGGCCTTGAATTGTAAAAAAATGCAAAATGCCTCAGTTTTTAAATATCGACTCCAAATGTTTTAGAAACACTTTCCAAGGCAAACCACCAGCACAGAAGTGGGTCACACTGGACCCCAGACAGGTTTACTACCTCTGATTCAGAAGGTTACATACTGTCCCCAGTTCTAAAGCTCTAGGGACAAAGTTCCAGTTTTGACTGAGGCAGTAATAACCAGAGAACTGTCATTTTGTACCAATGACTCAAGCAGAAATAAGAGAGAGGACAAACAGACAAATCCCCAGTCCCGAAGGCCTCCCCAGCTGACAGCTCCTGGGAAGGCAGATGTCCTTAGAGAAACAAGCATCCGTCGTCCCAAAAGCCCAGACTCTGTGTGTCCAGAATACTCCTGTTGGTGGCTAGCTACCACAGTGAGAGCAAAAGCTAAGATACAGCCGTTGCTAAACAACAGTGAGCCCAGAGCAGACACCAGCTTAGAACATGGCAGAAAGTCCTAGCAGCGTCCCCAGAGACACCAGAAACCAGGGGGCCCTGTGCAGACACCTCGGTAGTGGTTTCTGCTGCAGAGAACACTTTGGGACCCAGGGAGGGGCTGGGAAGGCAGTGTCCGGAGTCTGAGGGACCTGGCCTGATCTGAGACCCCTCCCATCCTTGCTGTGTCACCTTGAATAAGTTGCTTGATCTCTCAGTTTTGTCATCTGTATGAGGGCAATGGTAGAAATGGCACCTCATGGGATGCCTGTGAGGATTAAATGAGCTAATACCCTGGAGATATTGCTGGTTAGGTTCCAGCCAGTGAAATAGAGCCAATACTGCAGTAAAGGGAGTCACGGGGCTCTTTTGGTCTCCCCATGCATAGAAAAGTTATGTTGACACTGACTGTAGTCTGTTACGTGAGCAGCAGCGTGATGAAAAGTTTGAAATATTGTGAGAATGACCGAAGTGCGACACAGAGACATCAAGTGACCACACGCTGTTGGAAAAGTGGTGCTTTTATACTTGCTTGATGCAGGGTTGCCACAAACCTGCAATTTGCAAAAAAAGGCACTATCTGGGAGGTGCAATAAAGTGAGGCACAGTGAAACTAGGTACACATGTAACACAAAATGGCTTAGCATAGTGGCTGGCCCATATGAAGTACCACACACAGGGCGCCCAGCAGTCTGAGAACAAGTGGGTCCCCTGGGCAACAGACTCAGCTTTTAAAGTAGACAGTCTCAAGCCCACAGGGATGAGTGGCAGCCTTGTTTCAGATTGTCACCAGCAGTTACACTTTTGAGAAAGACTATGGAGGTCCGAGGGAGGCACAGAAGGTTAATGTCCGTGGCTGCTGACCACATGGTTGGAGGTTCCAGTCTACTTCAAGGCAGCTCAGAACAAAGACCTGACACGTGAAACCTGGCTCCCTTATGCACACGAGGAAAGTGAGGCACCAAGCCATCTCGTGATTTGCTTCAAGTCCCCTAGATGAACAGTGGCTGAGCCAGTCTGAGTCAGGCCTCATGTTCTTAGCCACTTCATCAGCCTGCCAAAATCAGCACTGGAATATTGGAGGGCATTTCATGAGGGTATATTTTTCAACTAAAGAAAAAAGTACAGGTTATAAAACAAGTTCATTTAACAAAAGAGCACAGCACAGTTACGTCAAGTCTAGTAGCTGTGTTTCTTTAGAACAGTGGAAATGAACCCTGGGAGCCTGAGTCTTGCACTCATCGATTCAAGAAATGGTTCCTACAGTAAGCCAGGCACCCCGTGATGTGATAGAAAAGCACAGGTAAGAGGCTCCCTGCTCCATGACACCCCATGCAGGGGTGGGAAGGGCATGGGAGACAGACAACTAACCAATAAGTGGATCTTTAGAATTTGTGAAGAGCGCCATGAAGTAAAAGAACGAGACCCAGTAATGATAGCGGGCAGGGAGGATTTCTTGGAGGAGAGACTTGAAAAGGGGGAGGGGATTTTCCATGGCGAGAAGAAGGATGAATGTGTGTGAACACCAGGATAGGAAACAGCTGGTTCACGCTGCTATCTGCAGAGCACAGTAAGCCTGGCACACAGTAGGTGTTTCCTGCAGATTGGTTAAACAAGTTGGCTGTGCCTGAGAACAGCATTGGCAACAAGGCTGGAAAGAAGTGTGGACATGCCAGCTAAACCCACCACCAAACAGAGTTCACAGGTCACTTACTTGGCGGCTGGAGTCTTCCCCATGGATTCCTTCTGAGTGGGTGTTCCCTCCTTCCCCTTTCACTGACTACAATAACAAACAGACAATGGCCTTTCAGCTACCACAGCATGGCAACATGGAGGACGAAAGGGAAGTTCTGCGATGGATGGCCTCATGCATTTATTACTGAGATCAGCAATCAAAACAGATGGGGGACCAAGCAGCACATGTACTGCTTATGAGATGGACGAATTTCCAGTTGATTAAATTCAAGTCTTGGTTTCCAAAAATAACAATGAAAAAGTTGTAAATTTATTAGGACAAAAAAAACTAGTGCTGGAATGAGGAGGTGGTTGAACACACGGAATGAATGCGTGAACAAGCCAGTGAACAAATGAACCATGAGTAGTGGACTTCCATTTGTAATATTTAGTGGTGAGTGATTTTGGTGAGGCATTTTTTTTTTCCTTAACAGAGAGAGAAGTTATGCGGAACAATCCATTTTCCATCCTATAGCACCTCCTATGGCCAGTGGCATGTTTGATGGGGCTGAATGCGGTTGAATTCCCAGCTTTGGCACTGGTTCCATTATGCTTGCTCCAAGCTAATGGTTCTCAAAGCCTCATTCCCAGGTCAGCAGCATCAGCATCACTAGGAACCTTCTATTGTTGTTGTTATGTGCCGTTGAGTCGGCCCCGACTCACAGCGACCCCTCCTTGGGTTTCCAAGGCAGTATCACTACGGAAGTAGGATTGCCCAACCTTCCTTCCGAGGAGTGGCTGGTGGGTTTGAACCGCCAGCCTTCTGGTTAGCTGTCAAATGCCTTAGGCACTATGCTACCAGAGCTCCTAGGAACCTTCTAGAAATGCAAATTCTTGAGACCCACACTTGATTGACTGAATCATCAGCTCTAGGCGTGGGCCCAGCAATCTGTGTTTGAACAAGCTTTCCTGAGGGTTCTGATGTGCGCTGGAGTTTGAACATCAGGGAAGGCCATAGACAAATTCAGATCCACACTGGGGCCTGTAGTTTTAACTGTGTATTCAACAGTGTCAGATTAGCACAAAGCAAGGTAAGCATGGGCTTATTTACGAATCTGTAGTGAACAGTTTCATGTTTTGTACTACATCGTGTATGAAAAGCATGTGAAACGGTTTACTATAGATTAGTGAGTAAATACAAGTAAGTCCGTGCTCACCTTCCTTATTGGGTAATCTGCCCTGAGATTTAGTAATATACCCTATGCTGGATGCTTGATGGGAAAACAGCCAAGAAATCTGGGAACACATTTCTCAGGACTTAAAAAAATCTTGTCTGGGGTCTACTTCCTGCAGACAAGCACACCTTTTTGCTCCCTGTCTAATGTCTGCTCTGCCCTGCTCTGGGAGGTGTAGGAGGGGGTGCTAAGCAACGTGGTGGGGCTAAGAGAAAGATTCCAGAGTCTTCCACTGTTCCTATGGTCCTTCCTCCCTCCTTCCACCCTTGACCTTTTTCTTTTTTCCTTGCAAAGTCCTCTTTCAGAGACAAATAAGGATATACGTATACCTTGGAGATACAAGGAGCTCTGTGG